AGAGGTGAGACTGGTTTCCGGTTTTGCACATACACATCTTGGAGTTTGTCAGCCCTTGTTTCAGCCATCAGCATTTCTAGTGGGGTCCTGCCTTCGTCATTATGGACAAAAACATCTTGGAGTGACTGTACATTGGGAAATTTTACCTCTGTGTTTTAACATGGATCAGATGGAGCTATTTCTCACCCACCTCACCTCCAGCCTCTTCAGTGGAGATAAGTTTATTCTCTCTAGGTCTTGCCTCCCACAAGGAGTCAGATCTGAGCCACTGAGGTATCTGCCCTAGAGCTGACTGCCCTCCAGCAGCCTAAGGGGCAGAACTGTCCCTACCCCTGCCCGATACACAAGGTCAAAGCAGCCACAGAAATGTGAGGGGCAGCTCTGCCAGGGCTGGTGGACCAGTACAAGGGTGGGGGTGAAGAAGGGAGGGAGAGACACCCATCTTTAAGATTCCTATGCTTCCCACACATATATTCTAAGTTTTTACTTTTTAAATGAATTGGTAAGACCTCTTTTTTTACCTTCTAGATATTGATCCTTCTCAGTTACATTCATTAGAAATGCTTTCTTCATTTGCTTGGCTTTTTCTTTTCTTTTGAGATAGGGTCTCACTCTGTTGCCCAGTCTGGTCTCAAAGAGTACAGTGGCTGATCACAGCTCACTGCAGCCTTGAACTCCCAGACCCAACTGATCCTCCTGCCTCAGCCTCCCAAGTAGCTGGGGCCACAAGCATGTGCCACCATGCCCAGCTAATTTCCTTTATTTTTAGTAGAAACAGTTCTCACTATGTTGCCCAGGCTGATCTCAAACTCCTGGGTTCAAGTGGTCTACCCACTCACCCTCCCAAAGTTCTGGGATTACAAATGTAAGCCACCATGCCCGACTCACACATCATTCGAAAGCAATAGCCATCCTCCTTGTCTGAAGGCTGAAGCTATTTCTAAGTCTCCACCAAATTATGTTATTGTTCAGTAGGAGACTAAAAGCTATTGGAAATGACAAGGTTTCCATTATCAAGCCAGCTTTAAATCAGGAAGTATTTTCTTCTTGGCTCTCTGAGAACTACACGGGTCCACCTGGGGTGAGCATGTTAAAGGCATGTTGCTGTTCACAGGGCAACAACTGAGTGAAGAAAGTCCAGGTCTCAGATCATGAACAACTTCCAGGCAGGCAGCCACAGGCTGGCTGTGATTACAGCAAGCAGAAAGCGCTCCATGCCCTGAGAATCCCTCCCTACCTCCTTCATCTGCTGGGAGTGAGGGCTGTATGTGTGTGTGTGTGTGTGTGTGTGTTTTAAGAGAACAATACCTCTAATTTGGCAATAAAAGATAAATTCTAGCAGAATTAAAGAAGTAAAGTCCCTCTTAGTTCCTGTCCTGAGAAGGGGGTTTACTCTACCTGCTTTCTTCCTGGTTGGAATAAAGAAGAGCATAAAGAAAGAAACAGGCCACACCTCGTGCTAAGGAGAAAGCAGAGACAAAGTCTGTGCCCTCTTTGTGCCTGCACTTCTTAACCTCCAAGAACATGATGACGTTGGTCTCTTCAGATGACCTTGTAAGGCCCCAAAAGATAGGCAAACACTCTGAATTGTTTTATGGTAGAAAGACACCATTGGCCTGCCTACGATGCGGATAACAGATCTGGCGACCCACTGGAGCCTGGGAGCTGGAAAAAGTCCCAGTGCCTACATGTCAGTCCCAGAGATGCCCATAAATTGGCCTGGAGTGTGGTCTTGGGCATTTGGGTTTCTAAAAGTGCCCAGGTGAATCGAATGTCTAGTCAAGGCTGGGAACCACTGGTCTAACCAGAGAGCTGCCACACAGCCTAGGGTCAGTGTCTTCCATACAATTTCAGGTCAAACTCACTCTGACTGGACAGTTCACTGTTATTAGAAGCACTTAGGAAGCTTTACGAAATCATAATGTGTTCAGTGCACTCTGGTTCAACTAAATCAGAACTCTGGAGCCAGGTGCAAAAAACCATTCTGGTGACTCTAGCAGTGTTAACTAATGGAGTCACAGACACCTCACTCTCCTGAGTTCCACCTGAAACTACTGGCACTGGCAATGGATAAGCAGAGGCAAAGCCTTCCTCAAGCCCTAAAATCTATGATTCCGTGGGAAACTGGCTGTTTTCTGGTAAAGAGTATAAACTGCTGAAATGCTGGGCTAGGGAATACTGCCATGGAGTTCATAGGTCCTTCCCCGGGCATGTCCTAGCAAAGCAGAGCTGGTCACTCTGCTGGACGAGGTGAACTTTAGTGCAGGGATTTGGTCATCAACAGCTATGTCTGGTGCACACCCAGAAGCCTGCCAGGGGTACAGAAATATAAATCCGTATCTATCCCAGCCCTTGAAGAACTTGTGGTATTGATCATAAATGAGTTACTGAGAAAGCAATTTACAGCAATACTGTAATATATCCATCAGGCTTTTCTGGGATAAGGCAGATCCTTACCAGTGAGGTCAGTGAGCTTTTCAGGAAAGTTCCTCTTTTTTTCTTTGAGACGGAGTCTCACTCTGTCACCAGACTGTAGTACACTGGCACCATCTTGGCTCACTGCAACCTCTACCTACCAGGTTCAAGTGATTCTTCTGCCTCAGCCTCCCAAGAAGCTGGGACTACAGGCGTGTGCCACCATGCCTAGATAATTTTTGTATTTTCAGTAGAGATAGGGTTGCACCATGTTGGACAGGATGGTCTCGATCTCTTGACCTCGTGATCCACCTGCCTCCGCCTCCCAAAGTCCTGGGATTACAGGCATGAGCCACCATGCCTGGACAAATTCCTTTAAGTTAAAGATGTTTCCTTTTTTAAAATCACTTCTGATGGAAATCCTTCTGAAATGCTTTCCATTCTTCCCTGCCTTTTTTTTTTTTTTTTTTTTTTTTTTTTTTTTTTTTTTTTTTTTTTTTTTTTGAGATGGAGTCTCTCTCCGCTGCCCAGGCTGGAGTGCAGTAGCATGATCTTGGCTCACTGCAAGCTCGACCTCCCAGGTTCAAGCACTTCTCCTGCCTCAGCCTCCCAAGTAGATGGGATTACAGGAACACACCACCATGCCCAGCTAATTTTTGTATTTTTAGTAAAGATGCAGTTTCACCATGTTGACCAGGCTGGTCTCAAACTCATGGCCTCATGTGATCCACCCACCTCAGCCTCCCAAAGTGCTGGGATTACAGGGATGAACCACTACACCCAGCCTTTCTTCTTTAACTGAGTACGCTGAATATAATTTGACCTTTTCTCAATGGCTCAAGGGCACCATTATCAACTAACAGAGCTCATTTATGATTAAGCAAAATGTGCTTGCACAAATTCAGGGGTTGCCAACACCTTGTAGTCTCCAATTTTTACAGTTATTTCCCCAGTTTTCTGGTAGACCACAATCAAATGTCTTAAATAAGCTGTGCCTTTTTCTATCAGCTGGCGAAGGGCTTGCCAATCATTTCCACACAGTGCCTGTCCCCCAGAGGGGCTGCGGAAGTGATCGGAGCTATTTGCTCCTAGCCGGGCGTGGTCCTGGAGAACTGCAATTTATAATGATCATTCCTATACCCTCTGATGTTCTGTCTTCTGCCTCACTTGTCCCCAGTGAGTACCTAATTCTTGCTGTCTTGTGTACCTCTAGTAGCCATTCGTCTTCCTCCAGCTACCACTTCTAGCTGCAACCACTGGGGAACAGCACTGTCAAGTCACTGACTTTATATGAAATGCATTTCTAAATCAGCCAGTCCTGGCCAGGCACAGTGGCTCATGCCTGAAATCCCGGTACTTTGAGAGGCCAAGCAGGCAGATCACTTGAGGTCAGGAGTTCAAGACCAGCCTAGCCAACACAGTGAAACTGTGTCTCTACTAAAAATAAAAAATTAGCCAGTCATGATGGCACATGCCTATAATCCCAGCTACTCAGGAGGCTGAGGCAGGAGACTCACTTGAAGCCAGGAAGCAGAGGTTGCAGTGAGCTGAGATCGCGCCACTGCACTCCTGACTGGGTGACAGAGCAAGAATCCATCTCAAAAAAAAAAAAAAAAAAAAAAATCTGCCAACCCTTGAGTGAAGCCCTGAACTTGAACCTACAATGATGTCGTAGGTCCAAGGGCCAAGGTCTTGTAAAGCTCTCTTCCTTTATTTTGTCACCTATGTTCAGATTCTTAGCATCTATATTTCAGATGGCTGGAATAGCCAGAAGCCTGATCTTCTGGTTAAAAGGGCACTGAATCAACATAAACAAGCACTTCATACTGATAAAGTGCTAAGATGGGTGCAGTGCTATTAGGGAACAGGGTTTTCAGGGAACTCACTTAATTGAATTTGGGGCTTTTTCTTTGTTCACTCATTTCTTTGGTTTAATATAAATTCCCTAAGGCATGCATAACCCCAGGTATATAGACTTTGCAAAACTTTCTTAGATGGCTTTTTTTTTCTTTTTCTTTTCTTTTCTCATTTTCTCAGATGGTTCTGATGAGCAGCCAGTTTTTAAGCTACTGGTCTGACATGCCTGAGAGTGTTCTGGGACTCACCAGGGGAGTGTGTCACCTCCCACCTCCTCTCACCTCTCTCCACACTCTCTGACCACCACCAGTTTCAAATCAGTCCTGTTTTTTGTTTGCTTGCCTGTTCTGAGATGGAGTCTCTCTCTGTTGCTCAGGCTGGAGTACAATGGTTCAATCTCAGCTCACTGTAACCTTCACCACCCAAGTTCAAGCGATTTTCAGCCTCCTAAGTAGCTGGGACTACAGGTGTCCGCCACTATGCCCAGCTAATTTTTTGTATTTTTAGTAGAGACAGGTTTTCGCCATGTTGGCCAGGCTAGTCTCGAACTCCCAACCTCAGGTGATCCACCTACCTCAGCCTCCCAAAGTACTGGGATTACAGGTGTGAGCCACCGTACACTCAAGTCAGTCCAATTTTAAGACTCCTTGTCTACCCTCAAGGTGGATCAGAGGGAGAAGGTCAGGGTGCACACAGCAGCCAGGAGCTCACCGTTTTCTTTCTTTCAGCCGTGCTCTTCCCTGCTGCCCACCGGCCAAAGAGACTCTCATCACTGCCATTGAACCCAGTCCTGCAGACCTCCCTGGAGGAGGTGGAGCTGCTCTATGAGGTAGGCGGAGGGGAATGTGCTCAATCCAAGTCACCCAAAAGGCACGGCACTTCCTCTATCGTTTTTAGAAAAGGAGAAGTGACCTGAGCCCCTGATCATGAGTGGCCACTGCTGTGGTAGAGAATAGCCTAATTTGTAGAGGGTATAGAATCCTGCTCATTCAAAGATACTCCTCATACCTTGTCTTTCCCACATCCTGTAACAGAGAATGATGGCATTAGGAGTTCGGCTCAGTTTAAACTAAAGATGAGGTTTGGGCTGCAGGTGTTATTTCTAGGACCCAGGCACCAGAGTGTGACAATATTCCCAAGCAAAGGCCTTGAGGCAGGTCGTGCCAGGAAATGCCAAGCCATTGTCTGGGTGCAGCCATGTCTCTAAGGCACTGCATGCTGTGACAGCAATGCTGTCTGGCTGAACTGCCAGCCCAGCTGAGTTTCTGGAAGGCAGGGACCACCCTGTAGGCCAGGCGTCCCCAGACTTTTTACACAGGGGGCCAGTTCACTGTCCCTCAGACTGTCGGAGGGCCGCCACATACTGTGCTCCTCTCACTGATCACCAATGAAAGAGGTGCCCCTTCCTGAAGTGCAGCAGGGGGCCGGATAAATGGCCTCAGGGGACCGCACGCAGCCCGCGGGCCGTAGTTTGGGGACACCTGCTGTAGGCTCTCTTCCTCTACCTCTCACCCTTCATCACTGAGACCCCACTCCTCTTCCAAACCACAGGGTCAGTTTTCCTAGGCCACCCAGATTGGATCAGTGTTATGATCCCCGGCTCAAGATCTGAGCTTTAGTCCTGGCTCTGTCACCCATCCACTGCACCACCTTGCATAAGCCACTGTTTCTCTCTGGGCCTGACTCTCCTCAACAGTTAAATGAGAGAATTCAACTATGCTATTCAAAGTTCCCCTCCAGCTTTGACATCTTCTGACTCCATGCACTAGGGATCTCTGGTTAAGAAAGAGACAGCAGGGCCAGGTGTGGTGGCTCATACCTGTTGTTGGAAACAGATCTTGGTGCAGCAAAGAAAAATTAGCACCGAGACAAAGGATCTCTCAGCAAAGTAATATTTACTTCCTGCACTGAGGGAAGGGTACCCTCGCTAGCCATCTCACCACAAGAGTACAACGAACAAAGGAAAAGCAGACATATTTATTCCTTATACATTTGGGATGTCCTTACTGTTGCATCTCATCTCCATTGGTTGGAGCCAGACCTCACAATCTAAACTAAAACATGATTGGCTAATAACTTAAAACTTTTTTTTTTTTTTTGAGACAGAGTTTCACTCTTGTTACCCAGGCTGGTGGGCTCACCACAACCTCCGCCTCCTGAGTTCAGGCAAGTCTCCTGCCTCAGCCTCCTGAGTAGCTGGGATTATAGGCATGCGCCACTATGCCCAGCTAATTTTTTGTATTTTTAGTAGAGACGGGGTTTCACCATGTTGACCGGGATGGTCTCAATCTCTTGACCTCGTGATCCACCCGCCTTGGCCTCCCAAAGTGCTGGGATTACAGGCTTGAGCCACCGCACCCGGCCAAAACTTTTTAAAACAGGTAAGGGGCAAAGGCTGTGAGCTGGGACATGCCTGTGAGCACGTACAGCACAGATATCTCCAGTAAAGTACAAGGACATAGAATATACTACGTGCCTGTAAGCATGGCATGTCTAATAGCTGCATAGGCCAGGGCTTAGCAAAGAGTTATTAGAAAATTTATTTTTTAACAAGAAGGGAAACTTTGAAGTGAAACTTTTCTACTTCCCACACCTGTAATCTCAGCACTTTGGGAGGCCAGGGCCAGTGGATCACCTGAGGTCAGGATTTCAAGACCAGCCTGGCCAACATGGTGAAACCCTGTCTCTACTAAAAATACAAAAATTAGCCAGGCGTGGTGGCACACACCTGTCATCCCAGCTACTTGGGAGGTTGAGGCAGGAGAATCACTTGAACCCAGGAGACAGAGATTGCAATAAGCAGAGGTCGTGCCACTGCACTCCAGCCTAGACGACAGAGTGAGACTCCATCTCAAAAAAATAAAAGAAAAAATGAAAATCAGTAATTGTATGACCTTTATGCCTGAACTCTTCTTTTTTGAAAGCTGGTTTAACACAGAAGGGAAACAAGAAAGGACCCACAGCCCAGTCCAGCGACACCTTGTCTTTGAATAGAAAAACCAAGCCAATCAGAGTCTCCCAGCTTCCGCCTTAAAATTATCTGAAATAGTTGATGCTTTAGATGATCTTTGTTGGGTGGGAGAAAGAAAGGGAAGAAGGAATTTATCCAGGACACTAAAAACTAGAATTAGTCCCTTAAACACTGGTTTTGAACCAGGCACTGTATTAGCTTTGTCCCTATTTGTCTTATTTACCTCTCACAACATCGAAGTGAAGTAGATGTTGTTACTAATCATTTACACAGAGAAGGAAAGGGAGGCTCAGAGAAATCAAGTAATTCATCCAAGGTTACACAGCAAGTGAGAAAGTCAGAACAGAAACTCAGGTCTCATGGGTTCCAAAGGTCTTCTAGCAGCTGCCCCCCTAAGGGAAGGTGCGTGTTAATGAATCAACAGTGCATTACTTCATGTCTCTGCACATCCGCATTTCTCACCAGTTCCTGCTGGCCGAACTTGAGATCGGCCCTGACCTGCAGATCTCTATCAAGGACGAGGAGCTGGCCTCCTTGCGGAAGGCCTCGGACTTCCACACCATCTGCAACAACGTCATCCCCAAAAGCATCCCAGACATCCGCCGGCTCAGCGCCAGCCTCTCTGGCCACCCTGGTATCCTCAAGAAAGAAGACTTTGAAAGGACAGTGCTGACCCTGGCCTATACAGCCTATCGCACGGCCCTGTCCCAAGGCTATCAGAAGGACATCTGGGCCCAGTCCCTCATTAGCCTCTTCCAGGCCTTGAGGCATGACTTGATGCGCTCCTCACAGCCCGGAGTGCCTCCCTGAGAGGCTGGCCCACACCAGGGCCTCGGAGCAGGGACCAGCACAGTCATCCAGAAAGTCTTCATTCTCTACTCCATTTACAGAGACCAGCAACAGAACACATACCGCCGACACAGAGCAGCAGAGATCAAATCAGAGTAACCCCGATGCTCTTTTCTCCTTGTAGTTTCCTGGAAGACACATCTGATTCATGCCATCATGTGACTGGGCTGGAAGAAAGGGCTGGAGTGGTTATTCAAAATGCCTCCACGGGTGGAATGGTTTGCCTGCGGCAGGCAGAAGTCTGATATGCTTCAACCCAGAGCACTGGACACACACACTCCAGAGTGAGGACAGGCCAGGCACTATGGCTCACGCCTGTAATACTAGCACTTTGGGAGGCTGAGACGGCAGGATTATTTGAGGTCAGGTGTTCAAGACCAGCCTGGGCAACACAGTGAAACCCTGTCTCTACTAAAATTATAAAAATTAGCTGGACATGGTGGCATGTGCCTGTAATCCCAGCTACTTGGTAGACTGAGGCAGGAGAATCAGTTGAACCCAGGAGGTGGAGGCTGCAGTGAGCTGAGATCGTGCCACTACACTCCAGCCTGGGGAACAGATGAGAGTCTGTCTCAAAAAAAAAAAAAAAAAAAAAAAAAAAAAAAAAAAAGTGAGGACTGAGCTAAAGGAGACATCATGGCAGAAAGATGGGCAAGATGGGGACAGATTCCTTCAGTGCTAAGTGACTAGGGTGCTGGGTGAAATAAACAATTTTCCAGAGGTTCTATAGTAAATATAAAGAAACTAGAGCTATGCCCAAATATATATATTATTTGCAAAGGATATACTTCTTGACTTTTCCAAAAACTGAAGAATCCTTTAGAAAATCAGTAATTTTGTGATCTCAATTTAGTAACTCTTCTCTTTCGAAAGCTGGCTTAACACAGAAGAGAAACCAGAGGCCCGCAGCCTAGCCCAGCCAGACCTTGTCTCTGAATAGAAAAACCAAGCTAGTACAGAAAGAGTCTCCCAATGAACAAGATGGCATCAACACCCATGCCTGTTCTGTCTTCACACAAAAATAATTAAGCATCATCAGAGAACTAAATGATCCAAATAAAAATGATTCAGGTGACAGAATTCTACCCTTTCAAATGCCAAAACTTTCCTTTTAGAGATATTGACTCGATATCAATTTAAACTATATCTACAAATCGCCTTAAGCTTTTGTTAGTATACGATCATCATTGAAACTTTTTTTTCCTTTGAGATGGAGTCTCTCTCTGTCATCCCGGCTGGAGAGCAGTAGCACTATCTCAGCTCACTGCAGCATCTGCCTCCCAGGTTCAAGTGAGTGTCCCGCCTCAGCCTCCAAAGTAGCTGGGACTACAGGCACACGCCACCACACCTGGCTAATTTTTGTATTTTTAATAGGGATGGTTTTGTGCTATGTTGGCCAGGCTGCTCTCAAACTTCTGGCCTCAAGTGATCCACCCGCCTCGGGCTCCCAAAGTGCTGGGATTATAGGCATGAGCCATTGCACCTGGCCATATCATCATTTAAATATTCTAATGAAGGAGTTGTATAAAATAATCTTCATTTAAATATTCTAATGAAGGAGTGGTATAAAATAATCTCTAAGACTCCTACATATGAAGTTTTTACAATCGTTTAACTGTGAGATACTAGAAGGAGCGCACCTGGATGTAAGACATCTACTCAACTGTTTGTACCGATCCTGAGAGGTACCAGACTGCTCATTCTGTGTCCAGTTCTGAGTTTTTCTGCTGCCTCCCTCACTGTCAGGCTACTAGAGCATATTTTTCCTTGTTGCCAATATAACTAGTCCTTCATAGTCTGTTCTTTCTTAGCTGACTGTTGCCTAAAAACTAAGATAGCCAGGCTTGTTATAATTCTATGTTAAATAAGAGTTAACAGATGAAAGCCTCTGCTAGGGTCAAGTGTCTGGGTCCTAAATAAGGATTTCTCATGAGCTCATAGACCCTTCCAGCTTCTCCTAAGTTTACAGCTGGGTTCTGCAGACTAAAGCTGCCACAAGTCTGATCTTTGAATGAGTGATGTATGGGGCTAAATTTGATTCCGAAGTGGGTATTTAATAATCAACATTTAATAAGGATGAGGTCTGGACTCCTTCAAAATCTTTGAGCAAATGAGCTTTGCCTAGCAGCGTTAGCCGTGTGATCTTTTTGGAAGAATACTAGGACACAGGAAGAAGATATTCATCATCAGAGAAAAACGCAGCTTTGAATCCTAATATTCTCAGGCTCAGAAGATTAGTAAGTCTCCGTCCCTCTCATTCCCCCATTACATCGCTCTTTTACCTCCTCCAAATGCAGATATACGCTTTTTTTGTTCGATCTTCCTCTTTCTAAATGTACCTGTTCTCTCTGACACGGTCACTCTGCTTCTACTTATTTCACTTGGTATCTCTGCTGCTCTATATTTGGGCCCAATTCCACATATCTTTGTGTCTGTTTTTTAATGCATCTCCAGGTCTCTTCTACTTGACTGGTGCTCTATCTCTGTGGGCCCACTGTCTGTCAGTCTTCTCTGGGTATCACTATCTAAATAAAACAAAGGTCAGTGTACAGACAGCGTTGGGATTGCCCAGAGGCAGATACACATGGTAGCCTACCTCTACTGTTTGTACTTTTCCTAGATGTCGAGTCAGGAGTGGACTAGCAATGACCTCAGTCCCTAGACACTGTGCAATACCCTGACAGCCAGTCTTGTAACCCGCCCTGAGGAGGCTCCACCCCCTTGATAATGGATCTGAGAGCTTTCTTGTACTCAGAATCATCAGACGGAAAGGCCCACCATTGTAGCCCCTGGCCACCATGTTATTATATAGATGGCTCCTCCCAGTAGTAAGAAATCCATGAATGGGGGGGATGGTTCCCAGGACCATTGGTACCAATGGTATTTCATTCATTTGGCAACAAAAAAATTAAAGGGACTTATTCACAAACTGGGGCGTGAATTTCTGTGGCAATTGATGGCTGAAAAAAATAGAAGAAAGAAGGACATGACCTTTTTAAAGACAAATGAAGACTTCATTTTCAGTAACTAGAATCTTTAAAACTATTTTAATCTGAATACAGATAATTGTTTACTCACAGGGAGTTTTATACCGATGACTTCATTGACATGCAGAGTCAAATATTATGCTCACCACCAGCAGCCCAAAAAAGCCGATTCTTTGCCCAAGGAACAGTAGAAACAGAGACTGGACAAACAGGGTCTCCTATTTTGCCTCTTAGTGCCACACCCTCCACAATCACAGTCACGAAGGGGTCACATTTGGTTATATTTACTAATAGAATAATATGGGAGTGTGATATTTGTAGTGGAAACTTGCCCATGACTTATGAAACCATTTCTGCTGACGCATTTTAGGATTTACAACCTTTGTGAGTTTTTTCATTTTGTTTCTGTTTGTTTGTTTGTTTTTGAGACAGTCTTGCTCTGTTGCCCAAGCTGGAGTGCAGTGAAGCCTCCGCCTCCAGGGTTCGAGCGATTCTCCCACCTCAGCCTCCCAAGTAGCTGGGACCACAGGCACATGTCACCACGCCTTGTTAATTTTTTTTTTTTTTTTTTTTTTTGTATTTTTAGCAAAGACAAGGTTTCACCATGTTGGCCAGGCTGGTCTCAAACTCCTGACCTCAAGTGATCCGCCTGCCTCGACTTCCCAAAGGGATTACAGGCATGAGCCACCGCTCCCAATCCAGGATCTAAAAACTTTCTAAGTTTCCTCATTCGTTGGCATCCTCACAGCTATCTCCAATGTCACTCAAGAGACATCAACAAACATTTAACTGCTGAAATCTTCATTGCTCTGTCACCTGACCTTGACGCTAACAAATCAGTCAAAAGTATTTCTGCAGGTCAAACAGCCTAAAATTAAATGCTTGTTAAATGACTTTGTACAACACTCCTTACTTTCCTAATGTATTTTAATATCTTACTTTTTTTATTGTGGCAAAAACCCATCACATAAAATTTACCATCTTAACCTTTTTTTTTTTTTTTTTTTTTTTTTGAGACAGAGTCTCACTCTGTCATCAGCTGGAGTGCAGTGGCACAATCGTGACTCACTGCAACCTCCGCCTCCTGGGTTTAAGTGATTCTCCTGCCTCAGCCTCCAGAGTAGCTGGGACTATAGGCGTGTGCCAGCACACCCACACCCAGCTAACTTTTGTATTTTTAATAGAGACGGGTTTCACCATGTTGGCCAGGATGATCTCGATCTCCTGACCTCATGATCCGCTCACCTCAGCCTCCCAAAATGCTGGGATTACAGGCGTGAGCCACCGCGCCCGACCCATCATAACCATTTTTAAGCATATAGTACAGCAGTGTTAACTCCAGGTCTGTTGTTATGCAACAGACCCCCAGGACTTTCTTGTCTTGTAAAACTGAAGCTCTGTACCCACTGAACAATTCCCCTTTGCCCCTTTCCCCTGCCTGCCCCCAGCTCTTGGCACCATTATTGTGCTTTCTGTTTTTAAGAGTCTGACTACTTAAGATACCTCATACAAGTGGGATCTGGCTTACATTCCTTGAGCATTGTATTCTGGAAACGTGTTTCCTTCCTCTGAAAAAGGGGTAGAGTTCTGAAGGAGAACTACTGGTCATATTGTATCATTTGCTGTACCTATTTTTATTTAACAAATATTCATCTACGGTATAATAAAAATGTCATGAATGAGTTGCTCACTGGAATCTTTGTTATCTCCGAGTATCTCACTGAGGAATTTGAAGTGGTTCATGGGTTTAACAGTGGATGTTGACTTCCACAGCTGCTTATAATTATCCGGTGTCTTTAATGTTTGCGACCAAAACATCACACACATGGTATTGTTCATTCTGAGTTTCAAAATCATAACCAAAAAAAAAATTGAGGCCAGAATGCAGCAAATACAGTAGTCAGTCTTTAACATGCATTTGAAGAGTTGAGTCATCCTAGCCCATCCTACGATGGCAAGATAATTTCAAAGGGGACTCGGGCTGTCCACAGTTACACCTGCCTTAAAAGTCAAGAAGAACTTGTTTTTTGGGTCACTTTAGCCTGGGGATCATTTCCTAGTAGTATAGCTGCAGATCTTGGAACGCCATTCCTGTGTTGTGTGAATTCAAGACAACGGGGGTTTTAGAACCCTTTGACTCTGCTCAGCGTCTCCCAGATCAAGGTAAGGTAATGTTGCCAAGAACCACTACTTACAAAATGTTTGGGCTTTTGCTTTTGCTTTTCTTCCTTGCCCGAAATCCACGTCTGCTCTGAGAAAAGAAGCTAACAACTTCTTCCAGTCTGTAAGCAGGAGAAATTCCAGAGTCCAACTGCTGCTAAGACCTTGTCCCTGAACTTGTCAACTTCTTCCCTACCCTCCCACCTCCTCCTTTTGTACCAGCCAAAGAAGGTCCCG